AGTAAACAAATATCCTGTAGTGGATTTTTTGTTATCAAGGTCACCTGCCATATCAGAATCTGTATAGCCCTTCAAAATTGGATTTGATCCTCCAAAACATAAGCATTCATGTGAGATTCCTCTTAGATACCTTAGTATCCACTTTACAGCTTCCCAATGCTCTTTTCCTGGATTTTTGAGAAATCTGCTAACAACACCGACTGCATGAGCAATATCTGATTGAGTGCATACCATTGCATACATCAAACTTCTGACGGCAGAGGAATAAGGAATCTTGTCCATTCTTTCTTTTTCCTCCGTTGTTGTAGGGCACATCTTCTTACTCAACTTCAGATGACCAGGAAGGGGTGTGCGAACCAACTTAGCACTTTTCATATTGAAGCGCTCCAGTACACGTTCTATGTACTTCTCATGTGACAAGTAAAGCTTTCTTTCGTTTCTCGAATGAGTAATTCTCATGCCCAAAATCTGCTTAGCATGACCCAAGTATTTCATTGTAAAAGACTTATTCAACTGTTTCTTCAACTAGTCAATCTTGGAAGCATTCCTACCTACAATTACACATATCATCCACATATAGCAAGAGGATGATAAAATCATCATCAAAAAATCTTTGTACAAACACACAGTGATCTGAAGAAGTCTTCTTGTAGCCTTGCTCCCCCATAACAGACTCAAGCTTCTTGTACTACTGTCTGGGAGCTTGCTTCAATCTATATAGACTCTTCTTAAGTTTGCATACAAGATTTTCTTTCCCTTTTGCCTTGAAGCCCTCAGGTTGTTCCATATAAATTTCCTCTTCTAAGTCACAATGAAGAAAAACAGTCTTCACATCCATCTGCTCAATCTCCAAATCAAGGCTGGTAGTCAAACCAAGAACTGTCCGAATGGAAGACATTTTCACGACAGGAGAAAATATTTCGTCAAAGTCAATACATTTTCTTTGACCAAGTCCCTTGAGAACCAATCTAGCTTTGTATCTAGGATTCAAACTATGTTCTTCAGCTTTAACTTTGAACACCCACTTGTTTTTCAAAGCTCTCATGCCCTTAGGCAATTTCACCAACTCATAAGTATGGGTCTCATGCAGAGATTTCATCTCATCTTGCATGGCTTCAATCCATTGAGCATTGTCCTCATCATTTATGGACTCCGCATAACATTCAGGTTCTCCCCCATCAGTGAGTAATACATACTCATTGGGTGAATAACGGGAGGAAAGAGTACAAGGTCTAGAAGACCTCCTGAGTGGAATATTTAACTCGTCCACAACTTCGTGAGTAGGAGCACCTACCTCATTAATATTAGCCTTGTTATCACCATTACCATCAATATGTTGATCTGGAATATAGTTCTGGGCATCACCATCATCATTGAGCCCACTAACGTCATCCGCATTTGTATGAGGCACTTGATCAAGATTAATTAAACCTTCAAAACTTGGAGATTTTAGCTTCTCCGCTTTGTTAATATTTTCAATGGTTTGATCCTCCACGACGATAACATCACGGCTTCTCACGACCTTCTTCTCAATTGGATCATATAGCCTGTAACCAAACTCATCAAGGCCATAACCAATGAAGATGCACTGCTTTGTCTTGGCAGTTAATTTTGACCTCTCATATTTAGGCACATGTACAAAAGTTTTGCTACCAAACACTTTCAAGTAGTCATAGGAAACATCCTTGCCATACCAAACTCTGTTTGGAACATCACTTTGCAAAGCAACTGCAAGGGATAGATTAATAACATGTGCGACGGTCAACAAAGCCTCACCCAAAAACGAATTCGGCAACTTTACTTCAGAAAGCAAACATCTGACTCTTTTCATCAAGGTCCTGTTCATCCTTTCTGCTAAACCATTAAGCTGAGGAGTCTTAGGAGGAGTTTTCTGGTGTCTGATACCCTGTTACTTGCAGTATTCGTCAAACGGTCCACAATATTCATCATTGTTATCAGTACGAATACACTTCAGCTTCTTTCTAGTTTCTCTTTCAACTGAAGCCTGAAACTACTTAAAGACACCCAACACTTGGTCTTTAGTCTTCAAGATGTAGACCCAAAGTTTCCCTGAGCAATCATCAATAAAGGTAGCAAAATAAAGTGCACCACCCAAAGTCCTTGTCTTCATTGGACCACATAAATCTGAATGCACCAACTCAAGCAACTCTGTCTTTCTTGAAGGAGGATGAGACTAGATAGAAACTCTTTTTTGTTTTCCAGCCAAGCAGTGCTCACATTTTTCTAATTTTGCACTTTAAAATTTGACAACAATTTCTTCTTGGCCAGAACATTTAGTCCTTTCTCGCTAATGTGGCTAAGCCTCTTATGCCATAACGCTGAAGAGTTATGGCTCTCAACGACATTCACCATATCAACACAGGTAGAGGTCGTAGTCCAGTATAGACCACGACGCATTTCCCCATGAGCCACAATCATGGATCCCTTAGTGAGCTTCCACTTTCCAGCACTATTGTTACTGACATATCCCTCATCATCCAAAACACCAACAGAGATCAAGTGCAAACGAACATCAGGTGCATGCTTTACATTGTTTAAAACTAGTTTAGTTCCAATACTAGTTTCCAAATAAATCATTCCAACACCAGCCACCCTAGATACAGCCTCATTACCCATACTCAAAGTTCCAAAGTCACCTTGAGTATAGGATGAGAAAAATTCCTTCCTTGATGTCACATGAGATGCGGCACCACTGCCCACAACCCAGCTTGACTCATCACAAGCACTATTTATCAGATCCTCATCAAGGACGGTAACAAGATCTTCTGTAGTGACGGTAGCCACATGATTGCCATCTTCTTTCTGTTCTTCCTTGTCTCTATTCTCCTTTTTCAAAATCCGGCAGAACTTTTTTGTGTGCCCTTTCTTCCCGCAATGATAGCACTCAATATCTTTAAGTCTGCTTTTGGATTTGCTTCTATTATGTTCTCTATTTTGAGAACCTCGATTCTTGTTTCTCCCCCTAGAGTCAGTCACCAAGACATCTGGTGATGAGGAATCCTGAGATTTTCTTCTCATCTCTTCATTTAAAAGGCTGCTCTTGGCAAGATCCATAGAGATCACATCATCCGGAGCAGAATCTGATAATGAAGTTCTAAGAACTTTCCAAGAATCTGGTAGGGAACCAAGTAAAAACAGGCCTTGAATTTCTTCATCAAATTTAATGCCCATAGCAGATAACTGGTTCATGATTCCTTGAAAATTATTCAGATGATCTGTCATCGCGGAACCATCATGGTACTTTAAACCTAACATTTGCTTTATTAGAAACATCTTATTGTTTCCAGTTTTCCGAGCATACAGACTTTCAAGGTGCTCTCATAGGGTCCGAGCATGTGTCTCCCTAGAAATATGGTTCAAAACATTATCGTCAACACACTGTCTAATAAAGTCGCAAACCTGCCTGTGTAACAGATTCCACTATTCATCTGATTTATTATCAAACTTTATAGTGGCAAAGACACGTTGATGAAAATTCTTGACATAAAGCAAATCTTCCATTTTGCCCTTCCAAATGGCATAATTTGTGTCATTCAAAGTAACCATTCTACTTGTGTTGGTTTCCATCGTTTATCACAAATACAAATACTATTTATTATGAGACCAAAGTAATTCTTTTCTGATGTGGAAGTTCAGACTGTGCTGCAACCACAGAGCATACTCAGACAGAACTTTGGCTCTGATACCACTTATTAGGAATAAACCCCGTAAAAATAATATTCACGGTATTAGTGATAAATACGAAACACTAAGTTATGGTTAAATCAGCAAGAATAAAAATGCAACAATAATGACACCAAGATTTTACGTGGAAACTCTTCTGAATAAGGGAAAAAATCACGGCCAAGAAGAGCAACTGATATCACTATAGCAAGGAATTTTACACTGTGTAGTAACGAGTAAAATACTCCTAAGACCACTATCTCTCACACTCTATTTTTCTTCACAAACTATTTTTGTATAGTTTATGGAATACATTGTTCTCTCTCTTTTCTCTCTTTGTTAGTGTGTAGAAATGAGAGTTAAAGCTCTCATTTTATAGCCAAAACTTCACTCTCTAAAGCCTACAATATTTGACAATTTGCACACCCTTTTCACAATTTCAACAAGGTTGGCTACCAAACCAAACCAAGTCAATAAAATTGGCTACCAAATTATACCAATTCAACAAGGTTGACTACCAAACCAAACCAAGTCAATAAAATTGGCTACCAAATTATACCAATTCAACAAGGTTGACTACCAAACCAAACCAAGTCAATAAAATTGGCTACCAAATTATACCAATTCAACAAGGTTGACTACCAAACCAAACCAAGTCAACAAAATTGGCTACCAAATCATTTGAATGAAATGGACACCATATCAGCTGGAGTGGAGAGACGAAGAGGAGAAAATGTAGAAGAGAAGAGAAGATTGTTTGGGTTAAGCATTAAAATTTTTATTTCAATATATATACAATACGGGCCTCGGCATGTAAGATTCCAAAATATGGGCTCTTTAAGGTTATAGAATTGGGTCGGGTGATATGGAGTGTAATTGTTTCTTTATTGTATAGTTTATACTCCTTTTCCGTGTACAAATAACGTATAAAAAGGTTTCATTGACATTTTAATTTATGCTAGTTTTAGGAAGTCCAATCTATATATCACATGAACTTTATTTTCGGTCAATGAGATGTAGCGTATTTGTTACGTTATAAGATGCTTTCTTATTTGAGTTATAGTACTTGACAATGAAGCCAATTTTGTGGAGACTGAGAATGTTTGGCAATTTCCATCCTCCAGAAACAAAAGTATGTCACCTGTTGGTCTTCACGGGATGTAAGAAGTAAGGAACCCCTCGTTTTCTACTTACTCCTTTATGTCCCAAATCAAATTTTTTTAATTTTGACCGTAAATTCGAATATAGCATTTTTTTAATTCTTTTGATACAAAATTTATAAAAGTACTATAAGTCATATTAACAATTAAATTTTTATAATTATTTGGGAGGAGTAAGAGTTCTTGAGAATTGAGATTAGGTGGTATTGTTATTAAGTTCCTGTATAAGGGAATCAGGCAAGTTAACGTTTAAAAAAGAGTGAAAGGACTTTCACATAAGTAGTAAGTTGAGCAGCATGCTCCAAAAGTTGCATCTCTCTATTCCATTTAATCTCAACTACGTAGTAATTTATAGCTAGCAGCTGCTTTTGTACTGCCATGGACTGTAAGATTAAAACCACATACCATCACCCAACTTTCTGATGCAACTCCATTTTTAAGCAAATCTTCAAGCTCATTTCTTGCCATATCACCAACTTTTACCTGAAGATGAATGAGAGAAGAACCAAGACGAACTTGTATTCATGGCCCAAATGGGCCGACCTTCCTGATGAGCTACTTGTCAAGATCTGCAAATGCCTCAAATACTCATTTCAAGTTGGTAATTTTCGTGCTGTTTGTACCTCTTGGAGATCCACAGTTCCACCTCCCTCTTGTAAGAAACTCTCGAGTGGATCTGCAGCAATCACGACTGAACCCACTAAGAAACCTCATAGAAAATACATCAGAAGATTGGTTTACCGGCTTGAACTTCAACAACTTCCACCTTCATCTTCATCTTCATCTTCATCTTCATCATCACCACCCAGCAGCTATTTGATAGCCGTAGAGGAACACTATGGCGAAGACGGCCAAAGCCAACTCCGCCTCTTGAACCCAATCACTGGAACTCCTATATCCTCAACACCATCAAACTTCCCTAAAGAGATTCATTTGAACAAATTCCGTGTCTCTGTACTGCATAAATCTACCCTCTTTTGGCACGATACAAATGATTATCGTTCCAATAAAGTTGTTTGTCTTCCTGCTGGCGGCCGAACCTGCAATGGACGAAATGGAAAAGCGGTTGCTATTCTTACCAAGAGCGGGAAATTGTATTTATTCACACGTGAACCAAGAGTGAATGTAGAATTAAATGAATTGATGGACCGTCCGCTTACAAACCACAATCTGGACAAGCCTGTTTATCACGACGTGGTGAAGTACAAGAACAAATGGTTTGCTATTGACCAATACGGGCGTGGGGTTATAGTTGATTCTTCTTTGAACGTGAGCCTAGTTACAAATCCTCTGTTTCTCCCAACCAGGGATGATTTTTTTGGTAACCACAAGTCATACTTGGTGAGGACATCAAGGGATACAGATCTATTTCTAGTGGACAGATACTTGGATAAATCCTCGGTGCAAACAAAATACGAACAATATTGTACATCTGATGTTACAAAGGAAGCAGTTTATGACATGGCAGTTAGATTCAGAGTGTATAAACTTGATGAGGAGGAGCATAGTTGGAGGAAGGTTACAAGCTTGAATGACCAAGTCATATTTGTAGGAGATGATGCATCCTTTTGGTCTTACTGTGTGTCTGCTAAAGATTTTCCAGGGTGTAGAGGAAATATGATTTTCTTCACGGATCAATTCAGGAGAGCTGAGAATGGAGATTTTCATGATTTTTGGGATGCGTTAAAACATGAAAAAGGCTACTCACTTGGGGGATTTCATATGGAGAATGCATTTCTTGGGCCAATGGCATGTTTCCCTGGTTACACTGATTTTTTCTGGCCACCACCTAGCTGGCTCAACTAAGATTTCCTCTCCAATGTTATGGTTAAATTCTACTCCGTCATCCATTTTATGTGTTAGATTGAATCTTGAAAAGTGAAAAGTATTTTGTATGTTCAGAGCACTACTTATGCAATTGTCTAGACAAAACTCATTCTAGTTTAATTGAGTATTTACTGCGTTTTAGTCTCGTAATTAGCAAGCTCTAAGGTCCAATAGAGTCCAATAGAGTAAAGTATATGAACTGAGATTAAGGGCCTGGAGCATTGAGTTGTTACTTGATAGTTGCTATAGTATAGACGTGTATTTTCTCAACATGTTATGTGTCTGCTCTTCCCATTTGCAATTTTGACCATTGGCCTCCCATACCCAAAAGAAAGTTAAACCAGGGAAAAAGGTTCGGGCATAACTGATCTATAAAAAAAGAAGAAAAGAATTAGCTTGCATTTCAAAGGCATTAGTGGTTTAACCCAACCACTTTCTTGGAAGCGAAGTGACAGTCTTCCCTCATAAAGAAAATCAGATGGGATGGGTCATTGGACAAGTGTGTAGAGTATGAATGGACTTTCACAAAAACGCTAGTGTTAAGCTGCAGGCTTCGAAAGTTTCATGTCTCTATTCCTTCTTTGCGTAATGCTGTGTGCTTTAATGCCCCAGGAAAAATGTGGACGAAAAGCGTGTCCTATCCCTAATCAAACTGCTTTCTTTTTACTTCTCTTACCAAAACTCATTAGTGTTCACATGTTTCCCTCTTACCATGTGGAAGATTCAGAACAAATTCTCTGGGAATAATTAACATCTGGAGACCATATATTGCTACAGTTTAACGCATCATCTCTAAATTCTTGTCGTCTTCTTCTTGATCATCACCGATAGAGGAAAACAATGGGTATTCCCTTAGAAATCCCAATAACATAGTGTTAAAATACACAATGATGATTCGGAAGCTAAAAATAAGAAAGGAGAAGGCAACGAAGAACAACAAATTTTTATGGAGATGTAAACTTTTAAGTGAAACCAAAGCACAAAGTAGAATACTGGAATTCTAGCTAACAATTAGCATAATACCTAAAAGAAACAAACCAAAACACTAAGCTAGATCACTAAGAAGAATGAGATAATCTAAACTTTCACAAATTGTCACTCCAATGCTATTTGTACGCCTTGGAAATCCGCAGCTCCATCCCGAAACAGTAGGTTCACAACTATATCAAATTTTCCAACTACACAATTTGATCAGTTTATTTTTCAAATCGAATCTAGCGGAAGATGGAACTTATTCCAACACCTTTTTGACATAATCAGAATTCTCGATAATATGTGAATATATAAAAGAGGCATATATCATTTCGATTAAGGCCGTATCATAATTTTCATTAAAAAATATACATATCTTCTGTTTACAGTCGAAACTATGTTTCCATACCTTTCCTGACTTCCACATTTTCACAAAATGATCAATTTGAACATATATGACGTGTTTATATTGCACGATGCACCAGCTTTCCGAACAAGACATTTGATCTGCTGCTAATCATGGGAAGAGGTGAAGCACTAGATACGCTTGAATAAATTAATGTCTAGTCTTTTGATCCTTGTGCGTTTACAATGTAGTAATTTTATTTTCTTAATCAGCTACATCACAAATTTTCATTCTCCATTTAGGATATTCATCTTGGATAGGAAAAAAAGAACATCCCAGATCCGATTTACAAATCACAAATTATGCAGCAGGTTTTCATCTTGGAAATCATCAATACTTTCTTAGTTGATGACTCTATCATCCTTCTCTCCTCTATATAACAAGGGAAAAAACAAAAACCAAAGGGCTTGCTAGTTGCTAACCTACACCTAATTTTGTAGTATATACAGACAAAACAAAGGCTCCTAAAGTGGCTGGAAAGAACCAAAAAAACAAAAGGTTTCTACATATTAAAACTATGGAACAAAAAGAGTGCAAAGGCCGTCTATGAGATGCATCTCATAGAGTACATTGACACAGGAGAGTCTACTGCAGGCGCACCATAGACCCTCGCATGATCACTCTCCAAACCATAATCCATCATCGGACGGTACTCAAGATCTTCATCATGATCAAACACAAATTCTGGCATCTCAATCTCATTCCTCCTTACATGTTCCCAAAGATAGTCCACCCTGTTCACATACCTCAATTTCCCATACAACCTGCACAAACACCCAATCAAAACCCGGACCATATCCATTTTTTAAGTAATCAAAATTTAATTCTTTCTAAATTAAAAAATTAAGATGCGCCTAATTCATATGAATTGACAATCTTACCCTCCGCTGAAGATGAAGCGACCAAAAGTGGCAAGGAAGAGCCTAGCTTGAAGGCCAGGGTGAAGAAAGTAAACAGCCTCCAGATTATCTCGGACTTTCACCGGAATCGCATCGTAGAAGGATCGTAAAGCTGATACTCCAGGAAAGTTCTCGCTTTTCTCCACATCCGTGTGAACATACACCACGGCGAATGGCCGTTTCTCAAGTTCTGGAAAGATCTTCTCCGCTAAATACTTCTTCACCACTTCAACGCTCAGATTCCTAGCTGATTAGCCCCAAAATAAAAACAAAAACGATATTTTAGGCCAAAAATTCAACAGGAAAAATCAGAAAAATGAAATATAAAGGATCTTTAAAATTTATGTACCAGGAAAGAATTTGCCGATGATGCGCAAGGTTTTCCGGCCACGTTTATCTCTGCCTTGGATTTTGAAGATTTCGAGTTTCTCAATAAGCTGTTCTTGTTCAACTTCTGAAAACATGGTTATCGAATTTCGGATAACTTGCAAAACACAACGTCAAGATGAGGAGGAAGCTGAAGGAAAAACGAAGGCTTTATATAGTGATGACGAAGAAGAAGAAGATGGGGGATGACTTTAAAGGGAAGGGAAGGGAAGGTAAAGAGAAATGTTATCCATTTTGGAGGGGTGGGAGGAGAGGAATATTAGGGGAATATTCGTAAGGATCTTCGGTTTTGAAGGTGGGACCTAATTTCTATCCTTGTGTTATTACTGAGACACTCCCCCGTGATCTACTGGATCACTCGTGGGACCCTTTCTTTTGGATCATGGATCAATTATATGGGTCTTTATCTTTAATTTCAGCCATCTATACCCGCTTTTTGTATCACGTTTTAATTTGTGTCCGCTTTATAAAAAAAAATCGCATAACTTCAGTATACGGGGCCGAAGTAGCAAAGACAATCATGCAAAATTTCAGCATTCTAGTAGCCGGACATGAAGTTCAGCTCTAGAGCTGAACTTTTTGTTTGTAACTAGCTAACTTTAGCTCTAGAGCTGAAGTTTTTGTTTTGTAACTGTCAAACTTCACCTCTAGAGCTGAAGTTTTTGTTTGTAACTGGCTTTTTGTTTGTAAGCTTCAGCTCTAGAGCTGAAGTTTTTGTTTTGTAACTGTCAAACTTCACCTCTAGAGCTGAAGTTTTTGTTTGTAACTGGCTTTTTGTTTGTAAGCTTCAGCTCTAGAGCTGAAGTTTTTGTTTTGTAACTGTCGAAGAGCTGAAGTTTTTGTTTGTACTAATATTTTACGTGGCTAATAATGTAGACAAAGCGTCCCAGACACCATCATTTGCTATTACAAGTATTCTTCCAGCTGATGATAACTATGATAACTGTTTGAACAAAAAAAAAAAAAACTTGTGTAGCATTAAAACATTAAAAAATTCAGACATATTTAGAGGCTTTCATTCAAAGAAAAGAATTTCTACAATATTAGGAGATTTCAGAGGCTCTGGGAAGCAAGAAAGTGAATTGTTTCAATTAAAATAACTTTCTGTTTACAAATATTACCTAAAAAATTACTTTGATTCGGCAATCATGTACTATATGAACAATTCCAACTCCCTCTTCTCTCACTATGAGTAATTGAAAATGGAAAGTATGACTAGACTATCATAATTTGCTATAACTTTTTCAATACAGAGGTTCAAAAAGATATTAGGTCATTCTGGGACGCTTTGTAATAGCAAACAATTAAATTTTTTTGCATTATTAGGTCAGTTAAAAGAATATTAATTGAGACAAAACGAAGAAGAAATAATCTGCACCAACAGCAGCAGAAGAAAGAAGAAAAAAATGAAGGAGGAGGAGAAAGATGACTGAAGTTATTTTAAAAGTGAGTACAAATTAAAAGTTTTAAAAAAAATGAGTATAAGTTAAATGGGGGCGACCAAATAGGGCGTCCCGTACAATTTTTACTTAATTTCACTGCAGATCTGGACCCGATATATTATCTTCTTTGATTTTCTTTTTCTTTTTTATTTTACTACCTACATAACCTTGAAAAAACAAAAAAAAATAAGATAGCCAGGAGAATGTTTTACCTGCCGGTAGCCAGCTAGTCTAGTTTGGTTAAACTTATCATAATAGGAGAAAAATTAATACTATTTTCGTTTCAATTTAAATGACATAATTTCTTTATTGGTTTTTTTACAAAAAATGAATTATTTTTATATTTGAAAACAATTAGACTTTAAACTTTTTATTTCTAATTTATTCTTAATGAGAAGTTTTTATAGTCACACAAATGTTATGGTCTCACTAAGCTCTTGTCTCTTAAGCTTTTAGGACCACGTGTTTCCAAGTCTTCTTCTTTTTTTGATTTTTTTTTTGTATCAAGTCAATTTACCTCATATAAATTGAAATACAGGAGTATTAATTATGTATTATTTGATTAATAAAGTACAATATTAATAATCCTAGTATTATCAATGCAACAATTTTCATATTGTCTTATATTGAATTTAATATGAAACAATAATGCACACGCATGTATTTGTCAAATCACATAAAAATTAGACATCGCTTAAGATAGAAGAAGAAGGGTGTCTGTTGTTCCAAATTTAAGGAAGAGATAAAGAAAGATTAGAGTGGAAAATAATTCTCAGCCATAAAATTACAAAAGATTTTGATTGCCAACGGTTGGTGGTATAATGAAGCTTAATTACTTCCTATCAAAAAGTATGGGCGAATTTATTTTTTTACTCATCCAATTGGACAATCTCTGTAATTCTTCCAACCTATGGTATGTGCCTATAAGTTTGTTACATCATCAAATTTTCCACTAATATTGATTTTAAAAATCTATTATAAGAACTAAAATAATAAATGTTCTTATAATATTTGGAAGTGGGAATAGGTAAATGT